AAGAAAACATTGTTTAATTTATATTAATATGTATCACTTAAGAAAATTTTAATAAAGATATTTATCTTAATTATGAAAATATAGTAGCATGTTTTTTAATTTTTGGAACCTAACCCTCCTTTTCGTACTAGTTCTTTGTTTCGCATAACACGGATTCGCATAACATGACAATTTTTTGGAACGTAACTACCGTGTTATACGGGGGTTACCTGTATATAGATAATTAGATATTTTATTATATTGTACAATAAACAAATAACATTATACTAGTACTAGTCTACTCAATGCAGTACGAATTTGGTGTTAGCCTTGGCTCTCAGCATCAGAATTTTTAAGTGAAGGGGCAATACTATGTAATGGTTTTATTGAAGGGGGTGACGATTTGTTAGAGGTTGAGAAACACTGATTTAAAAGAACACTTAGGTAGAGGATGTTTTCCAATGACACAAGATTTGGGAACATTTACTGTAGGGATTTCGGCAGCAGTCGACAGACTTGTTTGCACCACATTTTCATAAGCCTGAAAATATCCCTGAAGTTTGGGAGAAGTGTCAAGGTTTTTCATAACTGACTGTTTAAATAGAAAAAACAGTTAGAATAATCGAAAAATAAATTTGAGAAAAGTGATCTTTTACTGTGGAATTTATTTAATCATGCCGAGTGGCAGATTTAAAAATCATATAAATTATATTTTTACTTATTTATGATATGAAGTGATATATATTGACAAATAAACTCTGAAAAATAAAAGCTACTGAATTTATTTTAGGTTTTGCGGCCATTTTTATTGAGGCGTTTAAAATCTGATGTCGAGAAAAAATTATTACCTAAAAAAGAAGTAAAGGTTTATGTAGGTCTTAGTAAAATGCAGAGAGAATGGTAAGAACATTTTAATATTTTATTTGTGATTTTGTGTTTTCAGAAAAATATTGATTAAAAATTTATTTAAATGTATATTTTTTAAACTTTCATACTTTTTTAACAATACAGTGTGATCCCTATTTAAGAATAGTCAGTATGTAAGAATTTGAAACAACATGCTATTTTCTTTTATATTTCATGTTTATGAAGCTGTATAATTCAAATAAAATATTGTAATCAAGAATACAGTGAGAATGAAATTTTTAGGCATTATGATTAGATGGCTCATAGATTCCAGTCTACATTTTCTTTGTTTCATTTAGGTTGTCTTCATTCACTAAAGATAGTGGTATTTGTTCCAATGTGATTGTTTAGTTAAGTGAACTTCATTTCTACATTATAGATTCTTTATCCATTGTTAAAATTTTATTATTTAAAAATAATATTATTTTACTGTATTTTGTTTGATTTATGTTTCTTGTCTTTTATTATTATTTTCTTACCATTAACAGTCTTATTGCAACACCTGAGCATTTTGCTGACAGAATTCTTTATTAACAAACCATTAATAAAGAAATGTCTGATAACTAAGCTAGATACTAAAAATTGTATGTGAATTGATAGTTATAAAAATCATGCAAGTTAAACTATTACTCATGTAACACATGAATTATAACTTGTATGATTTTTACTGCTAGATATTTTAGCTTTATTGATAACTTGTGTGACCAGAGGGCTGGCACCAGACCAGTGATGCCTATGTCAGGACTGACACCACTATATCCTTTAAGGGAGATACAGAAACCTTGTTGGCTTTTGTTCCGATTTTTGCGCGAGCGGTCGTGTATGTAGACACTAGGGGTCCAGGATGGAGACAGCCTGAGAGACAATGCAGCCGAAAGAAGAGCACACTACAACTTAATTATAAAGGAAAAATATCTGTTTATTTTTGTAAATTATTTACACGTATACATAGGATAACAGAGTTCTGTTATAGCTTTCAAATAGCAGCTTAAATTGGATAAAGCTATATAGCGTAACATAATTGAGTATTGAAGTTAACAGGTTCCTAGCCAAGAGAGAGAGCTTACATTATTACTCACGATGTGAAATACCTTGATTGGTTGATGCCATGGATCGACTTGATGAAGGGATGAATAGGTTTCTGCTGGATTGGGTAATACTCCTGGATGGGGCAGTTTTTGGTCAAAGGTCTGGTAGGTAAACACAGCTATGGTTTGGCAATAGTGGCAGTTGAAGGGATCAGCAGTGGAGCATGGCTGGAATACACTTACACAAGGATATGGATAGGCGAACTCGCTTATCAATTTCAATGTTTGTCTTTTTATTTTGTTTTAGGCAATGTTAAAGTTTTGACCAATAGATAAATTTCTGATGAAAGTTCCTGGTGACACATGCATTCGTAAGATGTGTCACCTTTGGAAAGGAAGTAAATCCAGGGAAAGATGTGATCACATCCTTCCATTTTTTTACTAAGTGTTGGGAAAATTTTTCTTTATAGAATATGTGAAATTGAAGTGTTATTTTTAATTTGATATATTTTGTTGTGGTTAATTAAAATTTCCATCTCATCCGGTCTCTCACACTTGCATATTTGCTTTTATGTTACATTTTCTTCACTCATTTCAATTAGTTCCTTTTATATTGGAGAATTACCTAACCAAAATTTTCATTTATGTTAGTTTATTTGTTGATTGATAGGTAAATGTTTTCTGTAGTAATTTAATGTTGTTTTGAAGCATGAGTAGGATGACAGGGTCATACTGGAATGAAATAAAAATTTTGATCTTGAGAAAGAATAGAAATGCTTATCCTTTTTCACACTATTTTGGTTTGTAAGATATTTTTCAGGAACAAGTACACTTATAAATTGGAGTCACAATGTACAGTGGTGCCTCGTATAACGTACTTAATCTGTTCCAGGTGCACGTCCGTTAAGTGAAAAGTCTGTTATACGAAATGCATTTTTCCATAGAAATGCATGTTAAAACATATAATTCGTTCCGCAGCATAAAATAACCGTACTGTACCATAACAAAAAAATGAAAATGGAGCAGTCACCAATCATGCCGGGTAGTCAGATGTTGTGAGGAGGAGATGGAGGAACACTTTCTTCACACGTTCATACAGATACAGACTTTTTACGCATTGCATTGGGCCTTTTTTTATTGTTTTTTAATCGGATTCAGATTCAGGAGAGGCTACCGGAGCTTGCAGGGTCATCTCCTCTTGTTCCATCCTTTGTTTCTTGGCAGCTGGCTTCTTGAAAAACATGTCCAATGTTCTGTTTCTCTGTCTTCTTCAACACCTGTCAAAAATGACAGGCAAGGATGTCATTGTAAAGATCATTGATCCTGTTGGCCTCAGCTCTGTTTGGATAATGAGTGTTGGTAAACTCCTGAACCTCTCCCCATTTGACAAGGAAGTTTTTGTCAACTTTCACTCCTTCTGATGATTTCTTGTTTCAATTGAAATCACTTTTCTGTTTTTTTAGAAGCCATGATTTGCACAACAATTGAATAAATGTAAATACCCTACACTAAGGTGATGTACTTAATAAACAAGGGAGCAAGCCGAATCCCAAAAGGAGCTCTGTACTTCAGATATACTAATAATATATTATTAGTATATCTGTATATTATAGTATATCTGTATATATCTGTATATTATATTAATATATTAGTAATATATTATAAAAATAGCAGATTGTCATTGGCAATGGCAAAAGAGTGGAAACATTATTCGCACTTGCTCGTAGAAAGTCCATTGGTTGTCTCACGTAACTGCCGAACAGAAAGTCCGTTGTCCGCAGCCAGTCCGTTGCTTGAGTTACGTAACAGCCAAACAGGAAGTCCGTTACTCGCAGCGTCCATTATTCGAGGCTTACGTTATATGAGGCACCACTGTATTTTAATTATTTTTCTATACTTAATATGTTAATAATCCATGTCAATGTCAAACATAATATAAATTCTTTTAAAAATGTAGAAATTCAAATAAAACACAAAATATTTATTCAATCCTGAGAAATATACAACAGTCTTGTAAATGCTAATTGTTAACAGAGCATTTTACTTGAGTAATGCAATAAGTGCATTTGGGTACTCACCACAGTATCCTGTTAGCAAAGCTGGATACACTATCAAGTCTATTGTGACAAGTATTTTAAGAAAGCTTGCATACAAAGTAATCATTTAAATAATTTTTGAAAAATTAATTAAAATTTTATTTCTAATTTATAAAGAATAAATTATATCAGACATTGCAAAAAAAAAAAAAAGAGAATTGTTTTTTCATTTATACCATCATTATTTATTGATTTTAGATGCAATTTTTTTAAAAACAATCATTTCTCATTTTACATTTAATTTGAAAAATTTATTATTTAGGTACACAAAAATTTTAATGAAAGATATAGATGTGGTAAATGGTGCTGGAAAAGTAGACAAAATGAGATTATTGAATATCTTGATGCAGTTAAGGAAATGCTGTAATCATCCATATCTTTTTGATGGAGCTGAACCAGGTGAGCTGATTTTAACATAATTTAAGTAAATTTTCTAAAAGGTTATATTAAACATAGCATTGGACTATTGAAGACTGTCAAAGGGCAGAACTCATAGAAATGTAATTTTCATATGGATTTGAAACTTATCAAACCATTATTATTTTCATATTCTTTTTAATATGTAATAGACAGATTGAATTTTTCATTGTATTTCAAGAAAAATTAGATCGAACTGAATCAAAGTAAAATTTCAAGTTTAGTCTTATTTATATTTTCCTTATATATTTAAGTTAATGAAATAAAAAATTAAATAAACTTATGTTAAAAAATAACAAAGCAGTTTCTTTAATTATTAAAATTTAAACTTTTTATGAATTTAATATTTTATAATAAAATTAAAACAAGAGAAATGCCAAACTGGTGTTTTAAATTATTGCACACTTGCTGAGTTTATATGAATCAGCTGAATGTTAATAACATAGGTGCAATCTATGATGGAGATAATGTATTAGCAATAAGTAGTGATTAATTAAATATAGACGAAAAATAAGATCTGTAAAGTTCAGTTTTCTACAGTGTATTTTTATACAGGTATGACACTCATTTAATGAGATACAGTATGATTCTTGAAAATGTAGAAACCTGTTTGACAATATGCTCAAAGAAGAGTTAATAAACAAAAAGAATTTAAACAAAACATTCATGAAAACAGGTTACAAATATATTAATGTATCCATTTCATTCTTTAATATTTTGTGACATTACCTTTGGCTTTAATAATAATTGAATTCTCTTAGGCATGCTGTCAATCAGACTTTGAATAACATCTTGACTAATGTTATGATGCTCTACAGCCATTTCTTTCAGCTGAAAGCTATGCTTTGTTTTAACTTTGAGAGCCATGAGACACTATACATTTTTAATTGGTTTGAACCTGTTGAATTTCCTGCCCAATCAACAGTTACACAAAAATGAAAAATTATATTATAAAATATATGAGTGATATGCATATACAGTAGAGCATCGATTATCCAACCCCCGATTAACCATCACATTAGTTAACCGACCATTTTAGTTGGCAAATTTCAAATGTCCGCTAGTGATGTGGCACTACAATATTTGTCTATGTCTTGGCTACTTTAATTATANAGAAAAAATAAATATATTGAATAATATAAAAACAAAAAAAAATTATATTTCGGAAGTTAATCTAGTATAAAAAAACATTCCAATTCAGCATGACACACAGTCCTCAGAAAAACATCATACAAAACAAGCAAAACTCTTTCTTTTTCTTGGGTTTATCTGGAGATGTCAGCTGCTTGGGCTATATTCTTTGATGAGCTGAAGCAAAACACACCACTCACAATAGGAGAAAAAAGCCTCATTCAAATACTGGCATGTCCTTAAGTACTCTCTCAACATGTGCTGAATTGGAATGTTTTTGATACTAGATTAACTTCTGAAATATAAATTTTTTTTGTTTTTATATTTTTCAATATATTTATTTTGTTTGTGCAAAATAAAGAAATAATTTTAAAAATACAATATGGTCGTGCCAGTGCTGCCAGCTAAAAACACGCATACCAACAAAAATAATATTGGAGTAGCCCAAGACATAGCAAATATTGCATTGCCACAGCACCAGTGAAAATTTGAATTTGCCGACTGGAACACTTTTGGTTAACTGATGTTTTGGTTGATCGGTATTCAGATAATCGATGCTCTACTGTAATAAGAAAAAGGTTGGTTGTTTTTGGTTGTTAATCCATTTAAAGTTATTTATGTTCTTTATTTTGTAATGTTATATATGTTATATGATAATGTTTGCAAAAGGGCATAAAACAACAATTCCAAAACATGAGGAAAAAATAATATTACTACTATATTAAAAAATGGTAATAAAGAGTTGTTTTACATAAAACTTTTAAGAAAAGAAACATTAATGTGCTTGAGGATAAAAGAAGCTGTAAACCAATAAAGATGATTAAATTTAAAAAGAAGACAATACATGAAAATAACAAAACTGATTGTTCATCAGGAACCAGTAGAAAAATAAAAAGATGATGTTCAAACTTCACCTCTTCTTCTGTGTGACAAATTTCCCATTTGTTCATCACTACTGATTAAAGTACAGATCTTAGTATGGAAATGAGTTTGCATTTAGTTGGAAAAAGTGAACAATGAGTTTATATTAAATTTCTCATCCAACTTGAGAAATTTGCAATGGAAACTTTACAATTATTGACTGATGCTCTACTATGAAGACTATATATCTCTTGCACAAGAGTTTTGAATGACAAAATGATTTTCAGAAAGCAGAGAAAGTGTGAAAGATGACAACTGCCCAGACCATTGTTTTCTTCAATATCTAGCATGTTATGAAGACATTGTGAGTTTTTTAGTGGCCAGACCGTCAAACAATGTTATTATATTGAAATCTTAATTAAATTTTGTAAAACTGAGAAGGAAATGGCCAAAGTTAGGCCGCGTTTTTTTATGCAGCGAAAATGTAGCGTAAATGACGTCACGAGCAGCAACCGCTGCATGTCGCTGCACGGCATTTTACAAACGCTTGTCGCTGAAGCAAAATGGACGCTGTCCCTTGTTCGCTGATTTCAGTTTTAGAAAGTAACATATTATTTAAAGAATTACAAGAGAATAAAAAAAGGAGGTATGAAAATTTAATGGTTGGCATCGCTGTTTCCAATGAACGTAAAAAATCTAAGCGACAGAAGATACGAAATTACGTTGAAGAGGTCGTACCTTCATATTCTATGGATGACTTCAAATCTCATTTTAGACTCACAAAAAGTTCAACAGAAGTAAGTTTTTAACTTAAAATAAGCTAAATTTTCTATTAATTTCTAAATTAACTGATAATGC